ACACACACACTCACTCTCTCTCTCACACACACACACACACACACATACACTCACTCTCTCACACTCTCTCTCACACACACACACTCACTTCTCTCACACACACACACACTCTCTCACACACACAGACACACGTCAGTTCAGCAAACACAGATGATCAGTCAGTCAGTCCCTCACCGGTCAGGATGATGTTGGGTACGGCGTTCCGCCCATCTGTGTAGCTCTGACTCTGGTTCTGATTGCTCGTCTGTTGTTCTGAGTCCAGCATCTCCATCGGCTGACTCTGAGCCTTCAGAACCGCAGAAGAGCCACCGTCATGATTCAGAGCCTCCAGCTGAGAGTCCAGACTGAACTACACACCACAGGAACAGAGACGGTTAGTGTGTGTGTGTCTGTCTGTCTCTGTAAATGTGTGTGTCTCTGTCTGTGTGTGTGTGTGTGTGTGTGTGTGTGTGTGCGCGCGCGCATGAGTGAGTGAGTGTCTAACCTGCTGGCTCACGTTCTGGTGGCTGGTTAACTGCAGGCCCAGGTATGGGTCGTCCAGCAGAGAGTTCAGGAACATCGTGTCCTAAATGAGACAGAAGAGACACTTGTCCATTAATGATGGAAAGTATCATGGTATTACCACATCTGGGCCAGTGCTGTTCTACTATTATATTATACTATTATAACATAAATCAATATTTAGAATTACTTTTTATTTTTATATAATGTTTTCATTTTAAATTTCAGTTTATGTTTTAGAAATTTTATGTGCTTTTCTCATTTTATTCTTGTTTTTGTATATTTCAATATTGTGCTTTAATGTTTGGTTTTTTTTCAAGTTTAATTTTATTACTTAAACATATTTTATTTCAGTTAGTTGCAATGGCAACATTTTATATTCCTGGAAGTTTTTCCATCTATTATTTATGTTTTATTTCAGCTTTAATTTCAGTTTATGAAAGCAATCTTAATAGTTTTAGTAAACAATAACAACACTGGTCTGTTAGTAGTTTGATAACTATTGTGTACTATTAGATTAGACTCTAAGCACAAGTACAGAATGAAAGAAACACACAGAAGAGAAAATACAGTTTCAGATGAATTATGATGAGACGGTAAAGTCTGCATGAGACAGAAGTTTTTTTTTCTTTATTGTGACATATATCCGAGCTAAACAGCTTCTCAAAGACGGGGAAAAAACAATGCATGGATAAATCCTTTATAATAAACATTGCAATATTTCATTATGTAGTATGAGTGACCGCAGTGATATGGACAGGTACAATACCATAGTATCCTGTAAATGGTACTCTGTTATTATACAGCATCACTGTACTGTCAGTCACTCACGCTGTACAGGTCCAGATCTCTGCTGAGAGCCGGTCTGATCTGCCGTAGGGAAGGCTGGTTCTTCTGGTCGGACCGGGTCTGTCCCGTCTGCGCATCTGGCTGTGACGCGTCTGCAGGCCCGCAGCTCACGGGGTTCTGGTTCTGACCGGGGCTCGGCCACTTCAGCGGCTGCATGTGGAAGTTCTGCGTCTTGTGCAGATTCTGCATGTTGTGTAGGTGAAGCTGCACCGTCTGCGACGACGGGTGGAGCGCATGCGTCTGCGCAGGAACCAGACCCTTCTGAAGCGGCTGCTGCCCGAAGGAATACTGAGAAAACCTCTGAACTACCTGCAGCCGACTGGTGTCCAGAGCAACACCCTGAGACAGACACCGATGGAAAAGAAGCATTATAAAAATCTATTTCTAAAGTTTAAAAATGTAGGATTTCATAAAAAAAAACTAGGGTGCAATGAAAATGTTTTTAAAAAAGAAACATGCATGCAAAAAAAGGAAAAAACATGCATGCATATTGCAGGCCTTTTAATTATAAACAAGCCCGAAATAGACTGGGACTCTTATTTTGAAATAACTCATCAGCAGTAGATCATAAGATATCCCTCTGGGTATAAGTGTGCGCTGTTCACTGATTGCAAATGGCTGTGAAACCATGAGGCTGTAAAACACGCAACACATTTTTCTTTTGAAATGCACAGCGTGAACATCTGTTGAATGAAATCATCAGATTTTGAAGGTTAATAATCACATTAGTCTGTTTGGCAATCCCTTCTTTTACATTTCTACATTTAAGACCTCTTAAAGTTATAATTTTAAGACATTTGTTAATTTAAATTTTAAGATATTTAAGACCTTAAATTTCATAAATCTGAGGGACTTTTTTTTTTTTTCGCACACAGTGTGTGTGTGTAGAGTGTGAGTGTGTGTTTACCTGTGTGATGGAGCTGAGGGTGGAGGAGGTGGGTGAGAACTGTTTGGGGTGATGTCTGCGTGTGTCTGGAGGCAGGGTCACCGGGGTCAGCTGCGCTCGTCTGCGTGGGGACGTGCTCATCTGCGGAGGGAAGGAGCCCGAAGCGCTGTAACTGGTGTTACTGACAGCCGACTGCAGCGAATGACTGCTGAACGATGACCTCAGCGAGGGGGAGGAGCTTAACGAAGACTGGAGGGAGGGGTTGCTCAGGGACGAGTGCAGGGAGGCGGAGCTCAGCGAGTTGGGGAACGAGTGGCTGCTGAGAGACGATTGGATGTTGGGGTTGCTAAGCGACGACTGGAGGGAGGGGTTACTGGACGTGCCCTGCAGAGACGGCAGCAGACCTGTGCAAATACAAACATGCTATTTGAAAAAAACAACATTGAGATTCGGCATTAGAGCTGCTGTTTCAGAACACAGTCATTCCTGAAAAATAAACTAAATGAGTGAACGACTCGTCTCCCTCCCCGTAACCTTCGCAGATCATGTTACACAACACACTGGAACACTGGATTGTGATTGGTCACTTGATCACTCACTCAAATCGTTCAAATGGCTGATTCATTCAGAAATGAAGCGAGTGACCGTCTTTGAGTGAATCACTGACTCGCTCGATTCGTTAAAAGCTTGAACTGAACTGAATAATGACATTACTGTCTTCTGTTTCTGTTGTATCCAACTGGTTTCATACTTGAACACTGAACAGAACTGATCAGAATAATATGTTTTTAGAGCTCCTTTAAAAGCAGAACTTGACTTTGTCTCATAAGTTTGCATCATTGATTCTGTTATTTCCTTGTTCATTACTGTGAATCTGTATTGTATAAAGCACTGTATCAATAAAGGTGACTTGACAGAAATACTATAAAGCATGAGTTCAGACGGTGTCTGGACAGATGAATGTTTTAGCTCAGTAAATGTGTTTTGACCTGTGGAGTGGAAGGCGCTGGGGCTGTGGATGCCGAGCTGCGTGAGGGTACAGGTCAGGTTCCCCGTGCTGCCTCCGGCACTCAGAGACAGGTATCCCGGCTCGTCCGGGTCCAGCGGGGTCGGCAGCGGGGACGGGAAGTGCAGACTGGACAGATCCGGCAGAGAGCCGCCTGTATTCAGCACAGTCAGGCCGTGAGGAGCGCCGCCCTGCTGGTCCGGAGACGCAAACACACTGAACACAAGCACAGCAGTGAGGAGTCAGATACTGAAGCTGAAAACAAAACTCAGACATGGACATTACAGCATGTAAACACAGAAGAGACTCAAACCTTACAACAGGAACCAGCGTCTTCAGCGGACAGAGATAATATCATCACCACACACAGTTTCAATACAAAAACAACTAGCACATGATCTAGAAAACACATTATCACTCATTCCAATCACTGACTCTTTAATCTCCACAAACATCATGCATGTGGATTGACTGCTATGAGTTTTATTTGATATATGCTTAAATAACAACTCACTGCTGTAGCTTATAATAATGCAGCTTGCAATTAAATTAATGTATTAGTATGTTGGGAAACAAAGACTGACACACACAGGGAGCACCGCAGCAGAAAACCAGAATAAAAAACCCTTCGGACAAGAAATACAACCAGCCCATAAACCACTTTAACCAAGTGTGTGTGTGTGCGTGTGTGTCTCTCTCTGTGTGTGTGTGTGTGTGTGTGTGTGTG